GGACGAGACGTCGGTCGATGTCATCCTGGCTTCAGTGGGCTGAGAGTTCCAGCATTGAAATTCCTGGAATTCCTCCTCCCCCCACCCCCTCCCCATCCTTTTTTTTTTTTTTTTTTCCTGGTTGTCCTTCTGCATGTAGTTTTTATTCCTCAATTTGGGAATAATTTTTTTTTTTTTTGTATGATGTTCCATTAGTGGCTGGCTGGTACTGAGCCATTTCCCATGGCCCTTCCCACCTAACTTATGGCATCTCAAGCAGGGAGGATAAATGATGTGAGAAAAGAGAATCAGATTTTTGTCAAAATTGCTTTTTATTAACAGAAAATAAACACTGGTTCAAATGGTGGAATTCATATGAATTACTGTTAATAAAATAGAATTTTTTTTTTGTTTGTTCTAATTCTGTCTGCTCCAGTACAGAAAAAATAGCCTATAATGGCTGTTTATTAAACAAAAATCCCTTATTGCTAAAGGGATGCTATTAAATTCCCAACATAAACAATTAAAAAACCACCCCAAACCTCCAAATTTGCAACGTTTTTGTGACTGTCTCTTCTTCCACACAGAAAAAAATCAAAGTACAGAGAGAGATTAAACTCCATCTCTTGAGGCAGATTCAGTTCTCTGAGCTTCATGTCAGGTAATAACCAAAGCTCAGGGCAGCCTTTTCCTGGGTTCAAATTGGGAAAAATCCCCAAATGGAAAACTGGCAAGGGAAGGGGGATGGAGGGATTTTGTGAGGGAACTTCTGGTTGTTTCTAAGTCAGGGTGATGAAGGAAGTAAGAAATTCTGATTTAATGTTAATTTAAACTTCTGCCTCTCTAAATAGAGATTTAAGCTGGGCAAGAAGTTGAGTGCAGGGCTGGAAGAGCTGCCAGCATCCTGCTTTTTCCTTCATTTTCCCAATTTTCCAAGGATTTCACTCAGTTTGGCAGCCCAGGATGAGGGTGTGAGCACAGTGTTGGGTGTGGAAGAGAAAATCCATAGGTTTTTTTTTTTTTTCCTGCCCCCAAAGCCTGCCTTTGAGCAAAGAGTGAGACTCAGAAGGAGTTGATGAAATTCAGGTAGGCATTCAGAAATCCTGTGGGATCCTCCAGCTGGGGATAGTGGCTGATGTGATCATCCAGCACTGACACTGTGGACATGGGAAGCACCTTCCTAGAAAAAAAAACACAGCAAGGCACACTCAGCCCTCTTGCACAGCCAGGATTCTGTTCAATTTTGGGATAAAAAAAAAAAAAAGCCTGGAGCAGCTCCATCTGACTCCTTCCAAGTGCTGGATTTCCTTCAGGTTGGTTTGGAGGAGGAAATCACAAATCTTCCTTGTGTGGTTTTAAAATTCATCATCATGGGATCGACTGAAAATCCTGATTTTTTTTTGGTGCTTAAAATGCAGAACCAATTTCCAAACTGCTCTGACTCAATCACCTGGCTGTGCAGGTGACAGAGGGGATTAAAAACAGCCTCCATGAGGATGGAATTGAAGGAATAGCCAGGCACAAAATTCCTTGGAATGAAGGAACACATTCCCATTTTTGTCTCACCTGTAAAGCTGGAGGAACTCTGGGTGTGGATTCACAGGGTCCAGGGGCCCATAGATGAGATGCACTGCAAGGGAAGCACAGACAGAGCTTTTAGATCCATAAATTAATGGATTCATTAATTAAACCATCCCCATGGAGACCTGCAGGAGTGTTCCCTCCTTGCACAAATCTTGGGAAGCTTCCAGTGGAGCACTGAACAAAACAGCTCTGAATGGGGGTCAAGTTCAGCCTCCAACCCCCCCCCCCAAATTTTTCCCTGGTTGCAACTTTTTGGGCTTGAAAAGCTCCTCAACTCCCCTGGAGCAACACTTGGGAGAAGCAGCTGTGAACCAGGGAATGTTATCTCTGCTGAAAAACTGGAGCTGAGCTCAGAATAACCAGAAGCTGATGAGTGCAAGGAGCCTGGAAGGGAGGGGAGGAATTCCCAAAAATCAGGAAAGGGATGGATTCCTACTCACATGGGACTGAGGTAGACATCAAAGCCCCAAGCCAGCGCTCTCTGTGCTTTTTTCTCTGATTTATGTACTGCAAAACACTGAAGGAAAAGTTGTTGTTATGCAGTGGATGCTGCCCAGCCTGGAATTTGCTCCTGGACACAATGGGCACCACCCCATCACCCCTGGGCTCAGGGAACTCTGTTTGCTCACTGGGGGAAGGGGAGACAGGGAACTGAAATCACCAAAGCCTTTCTAAAAGCCACAAACTGGAAGAAATGTATCCTTCCAAAATTCCCCAAGCTGAAGATTTGGGATTGGGACTTTTGGGAATTGCCCAGAAAAGTTCAAATCCAAAGGCAAATCTTTTCTGGGATAAAATCTGCCACAGATTGAGCTCCAATCATTATCAAACCCCCCCCCAAATCCAAGCCTTTGATTTCCAAAATAAAATCCCCACGTTCTACACCTGCCTCCCATCATCCCAGACAATCCCTGCTCAAACATCTCCCCCCCCCCCCTCATTTTTTTTTTTTTGGGGGGGGGGGATGTAATGTTGATCCCAGACTCCAAAAGAAGCAGCTGGAAGTTCTGGAGAGCCTGAGGCTGAGCTCTGGGAACCTGGCAGCAGGTGTGACATGAAGCTCATGCAGGAATTCCTGCCCAGGTACCTGTCCAGAACGAGATTGCCGTCGTTGTTCCTCACCGCCGTCCACATATCCCAAAATTCCGCCTGGGAGGGCTGAGTGTAGGGCCCAAAAACTGCCCCAAGCCTGGAAAAAAAATAGAATTTTGGAGAGATAACAGCAACAGCTGTGTCAGGGAACCACTCACTGGAGGTGAAAAATTCCAGCATTTCCAGTTTCCACAGCAAAACTCCCAAGTGCTGAGATGTCCCCCAGGTAAGTTGGATGGCCTCAAAAAGGTCTTTTTTCAGGAAAAAAAAAAGTTTTTAACACTGCTAAAAATATAAAAATCTGGTAGTGCAGGGGTTTTGTTGCCTCTGAAATGTGTAATTCCAACACTTGTGGGAGAGGAGGATTTCAGTGTCCAGGGAAATGTTGTTTGGATTATTATTAAACTGAAGAGTGTGGTCAGTGTGGAGAGGGAATGGTTCCAGAGTCAATCCCACCTCTCTGGGGACAGTGCCAGGGAATTTGCTCCCTGCCAAATCCCTCATTTATGGAATCATGGAATGGTTTGGGTTGGAAAGGAATTTAAAGATCATTCATCCCACTCCCTGCCGTGGGCAAGGACACCTCCCCCTATCCAGGGTGCTCCAACCTGGCCTTGGACACTTCCAGGGAATTCTCTGGGAATTCTTCTCCAGGGTCTCCCCACCCTCCCAGCCAGGAATTCCTTCTAATTCCTGCATTTCCCACTTGGTTCATGACTTTATGGATTGTGCCCAGCACCCCCAAGCCCTGACTCACCCTCCAGAGAAGAAGAAGAAGTTCATCATCCTCAGGATGATGGGGGACAGCAACCCCCCATCCTTGAGGAGCTGGGGAAGAAGGGAAGGAAGGAGAGAGAGCACAGCTCAGACACAGGGATAAATCCATGGAGAGCTTTTCCCACACTCAGACCCCTGAGGTGTCTCCAAGAGGTGTTTCTTTGGGATTTTGGGGTTCAGTGTGACCTGAGAGGGGAGCAGCTCACCTTCTGGATGAAGCGGGGGTAGTGAGTTTCAGGAAAAATCCCTGGAAGGACATCAAAGAACGGAGCTGGAATGCTGCAAGTGTTTTGCTCCACATCTCCCACTTTGTCCCCCCCTCATGGTGCCATGACAGTGGCCCAGGGAGCCCCAGGATTGCTGCTCCTGGTTAATTGCAGCACCTTGATTGTAATCCTTGGGATTTGGGTGCTGGAGATGGGAAGGCCAGCCTATCCCATGGCTCCTCATTCTGTGGATCCCATCCCATGAATCCCCATCCATCCCATCTCATGGATCCCATCCTATGGATTCCTATCCCACAGATCCCATCCCATCGATCCCCATCTCATGGATCCCATCCTATGGATTCTTATCCCATGGATTCCTGTCCCATGGATCCCATCCCATCAATCTCCATCTCAGGGATCCCATCCCATGGATCCCCATCCCATGGATCCCATCCCACAGATCCCATCCCATCCCATCTCATGGATCCCATCCTATGGATTCCTATCCCATGGATCCCATCCCATGGATTTCCATCTCATGGATCCCACCCTATGGATTCCTATCCCATGGATCCCATCCCATCAATCTCCATCTCATGGATCCTACCCTATGGATTCCTATCCCATGTATACCAATCCCATGGATCCCCATCCCATGGATCCCATCCTATGGGTTCTTATCCCATGGATCCCATCCCATGGATTTCCATCTCATGGATCCCACCCTATGGATTCCTATCCCATGGATCCCATCCCATCAATCTCCATCTCATGGATCCCATCCCACATATCCCATCCTATGGATTCCTATCCCATAGATCCCATCCCAAATCCCATCCCAAACCTTACCTCCATTGGATAAACAGAGGCTGTTGATCAGGATGCTCCCAGTTTTATTGTGCTCATACCTGGGGACAGCAGAGAAGAAGCTGAAACACAACCAAACCTCTGCAGGCTCCGAGAAACAACCGAGCACGAGGTCAAACCGTGCCACATCATCTCCTTTTCCTCTGGGATTTGGACAGATGGAAACCTTGGACGTGCCCCGAGACACCTCAGGCACGGGGAAAAGGAGATTCTGCACCACACCCTTGCACTTATCTGCTGGAAATCATCTTGGTGGAGACACCAAAAGGGCAGGAGGGGGTGGCAGGGACCTGTGGAGCAGCTCCTGGGCCACCGTGTCCCCGTAGTCGTGGGACAGGAGGTTGATCCTCTGGTGCCGCAGCCCGAGGTGTCGCAGCAGCCCCTCCACGATGGTGGCCTGCTCGAAGATGGAGTAGCCATGGGGCCTCTGCAAAAGTGGCAGAGGGGTCCCAGTGAGAGCCTGAGCCAGCAGGAGCCCGAGGATTGTAGGGTAAATACCCCCAAGGGAGGAATGTGGAAATGGGGGAATGTGGAGGCTGGACTCAGCGCTTGGGATGTCCTGTGGTGTCCACATGGGAGCATTGTCCGTGCTCCAAAAGGGGTCAAAGTGCATTTTGGAGTCCCACCAAACCCAGCTGAAGCTCCACCACAAACCTTCCCTATCCCTCCCACTGTTGTAATGACTTATCCCTTTTCCAGAGGTAAATGGGAGGAGAAAAACCAATTTGTCTCGTGGATAGCAAAAAACAATTTTCTGGAGTGCTGGGCCTAAAGCAACCATGAAAATCCTCATGCCAGGGTACTCACAGGCTTGTCACTGAATCCAAATCCGAGGAAATCCAGGGCAATCACCCGGTGAAAGCGCTGAGTCAGCCCTTCCCAGATCTGGGAAGAGGAGAAATGCATTAAAAAAGCAGTGGGATGCCTTCAAATGCATTAAAACCTGCAGTGATGAGCAGCCAGGGATGGACATGCTCCTCTCCACCATCCCAGGAAAATGTTCCTGCTCCAAGAAAACAGCAGGAGGCCAAGATTTCCCAATAAATCCAGACTATCCCCCCTCGAAAAGCCAAGGAATTGTTGTGGCTGTTTTCCTGCACTGTGGAATGAGCTTGGATTTCACACTGGGAGAGGAACAAGGTGATAATCCTGGAGCACCTCCAGCAGAAATCAGGAATTCTCCTCTGGAGCACAGCCCAGCCCTGCTGTGCTGCCTGCTCATCCCCAGGAGCTGAAAATCCTGGGATTTGCTGTGAGATTCCAGCCCCTCACCTTGCTCCAGTCATAGCTGGATGTTGGGAAGCCGTGCAGGAGCACCACGATGTCAGAGCTGCCAAGAGCACCACTGGAATCTGGGGGGGAACAGAAAACCTCAGAGTCAGCTCTTCCCAAAATTCCTCCTTTCTAGGATGGGATTTGCTGCTCATCCCACTGGGAATCTGCCCTAAAACCAAGGATGGGTTTGATTCCCACTGCAGCTTCCCTTTGGAAACCTCACCATAATCAATCAAGGGATTTAATTAACCCAAATTAATTCCAGCAGCTTGTGGGGAAAACAGGACACCTCAGAGTGAGCTTTTCCCAAAATTCCTCCTTTCTAGGATAGGAATTGCTGCTCATCCCTCTGCTCCCCAAAACCAAGGATGGGTTTGATTCCCACTGCAGCTCCCCTTTGGAAACCTCACCATAATCAACCAAGGGATTTAATTAACCCAAATTAACTCCAGCAGCCTCTGTGCTGCTGCAAAAAGATTTTCCAGTGTCTTTTCCATGTTGCCATCCCTCAGAAGCTCTTGGGATCCTCCCCACCAAGGTACAAGAACCAATTTTCCCCAGTGAAATCCATCCCTGCCAGATCCAGGGTGACAAAAACCGGGAGGGATTCGTCACCACCTCGCCCAGTTTTAGGAATGTCCCCACGGCCACCATTTTGTCACCTCTGTAGAAGATGTTCAGGTCCTTGTAGGTGAAGAAGCTTCCAGAGGATTTCCAGGAGCGGAGTGCAGGGGAAAGCTGTGGGGGTGGGATGTGCAGGTAGACGGCGAGGAGGGGCACGCCCAGCAGCCCCAGCTGCAGCCACCACTCCTTCATCCTGCGGGACACAGCCGGGACACCGGCAACGTGCTGGAATTGCTGCATTGCCACTGAGCTCCACAGGGGCCCAGAACCCACCT